GAGATTACTTTAAGAAAAAAAATAGTCCTGCTGACATATCATTGATGTACTGGAGGATGGAAGAATTATGTTGTCACTAGTCATGAGAGGGTATTTTCTCATTTACTGCAGACTCTAAGAATTGTTTTAAACTTTAAAACGTTCTCTGTTATGAATTCCCTACTTTTTTCAATATGTATTTTCTAGAGATTTATTAGGTGGTTTTTTTGACTTCTGATGCTGAAAGAGGTTTATTTTGAATATCTATCTGGATTACTATCTCTGAACAATCTGATTTATATTTATGAAATTATTTTGAGAGATCTCATTTGATTAATCTAAACATATAGAGTGTAAAAATAATCCCTTTTAAAAAATGACTAATTTTTTCTATACATATTAACTATCTCAAATAGAAGGGAGGTCTGTGGCTCTGAAGGAAAGCTGACACACCAGTGAAATGGCAGTAGATTCCCCCCTTTGGCCAGAAGAGGGAGAGATGCACCTGGTTTGGCTAACGAGATCACTGTTTCAGCCCAAATTGAAACGTAATAGCTACTTGGGCAAACTGCTTCTGTGCCATCAAACCTTGATTAATACAATAACAAGCTGTATTTTACTCCGTCTGCTGTAAAGGAAAACAACCCTTATGTAGTACCTAGAGATGCATAAATAAGTCTTAAAGGCAGTGAAACTTGGGCACACCCAATCTCATAGCTGGGATTTTGATTGTGCACTGGGGATTCCTATGTTCCCCTACGTTGAAAGAAAGTTTAAGAAATGAATTTGCATGCAGAATGATCTTTCTCTACTGTGGGTTGTAAATAGTATAACAAGAATATTAGTAAGATTGGTCTTAAGTTGTGTCTTGGCTTCTAGGCAACATAATAAGCCAGTTCTGTGAATATCCACATAGCCAAAGGAGCAGGGTGGGTATAGCATGGAGAGAAAACCTTTTAATACTGCTAATTTACTCCTATTTCTTAATGGGTAAAAAGGAGAGAGAGCTGATGGATCAACTTGGTGTAATTCTCGCATTATTTCACATAGTTCTGACAATGACTCGGTCCTAGGAACTGCAGTGATTTAAGGAAAAGTGTATTTTAGCAGAGCACCAGTTCAAATAAAACATTTTGGCTTGTTCTTTCTTATGGTGATAGGAGTTTATCTTAAATGGTAAAGGGTGTTTCTAAGCTCACTTTGCTCCCTGGGTAAGTAAGTGTGCCTGTGGGGTATTGAAACTGGTGACTGAATGTAATTCTCTTGTTTTGCTCTGACATGAGGGAATGGGGGATGGAACAGCTGTAGTCATATTTGCAGGTGACAAAACATACCCTGATGTATTTCAGGAAAAAAACATCCAGTTTCAGTATACTTTCTATACTAATGGATACATATTACATATGTTCTCCTACTGTATTAAATCTCATAGTCCTTTAGGTTCAACTTCAAAAAGTGCTTATTTGAATCATCCCTGAAATACTGCTTCCTTTCTAATCTAAAAACTAATGTGATTGGTTAAGCTTATGCAGTGTGGTTTTTCAGTAGCCCTTGGCCATGCTTTACTTTCTTGCTTTTATGATGCGTTGTTACAGCAGGTGGAGTGGTGACAGCTGCTTGCATTACTAAGGCTAATGAAATGCAAAGCTCATTCTTGTATCCAGGTGTTTTGCTAACCACTAAGCCCAGAGTGGGCAAAATTCAGCCAAGTGCAGACAGTAGTATGTAGCTGCAGCACCCCAAGTAGTTTATTTTCTTGTTTGCATTTATACACCAAGTATGAGTCAACTGTATCTGGAGCATAGAAATACTTGGCTTGGTGCAGTAGCAAGACTTGACGGTGAGAAAGAACACCAGTGAAAGAAATAGTGAACTAGTCTTTCCTAACCCTTAACCCAATTTAATTTATTCAGTCTGCCATGATCTCAGCTTCAAGCCTGGATTAAAGCTCCAGATTCAGCTCTAGGGTAAATTAAATTCCATGGGAGTTGTGCCATTCACACAAAAACAACGTGTTCCTTTGGAATAATGATGTGCCTCCCCTTTGATATTTCTACTGCTTGAATGCCAAGTCAGCCTGGTGACACTTGCTCCCTGTTCCCATCTCCCTTGGTGTACAACTGGTGCCTTCAAGAGCGCTTCTGCTCTGGCTGGTTTGGTACATTACTGCAAGCTTTCAAAAAAAAAACACTACCCTCAGCATTTTGCCTGGATCATTTCCTAGTTCAGATCATGTTCCTTAGCAGATGGCTACATCCATCCTCACCAGTCAGCAGCAACCCCACTCCTATAACTAGCACTTGGTAAATAGCATGTGGTCAGTAAACTAAGGCTCAATCCATTTGGACGATTTAGCTTTGGATGATTTTACTTCATATTTTGAAAAGCCCTTCTAGCACAGCCAAGCCCACTATCTCCTGTGTTCTTCTCTCTTTGGCCTTAAGTTCATGGGTTCAGTTTGCATTTTTGCTGTACCTCGGTGGACATCCAATGCCTTCTTGCACACTTGGGGTTTTAATTCATTTCATTTCAACCTTTTTCTCTTGGCAAGTCATTTCATGGAAGCATGCATGTGAGGGTGTGTTTGCATGTTTATTTGACGCACATTACAGAGCACTCTTCTAATTTTTGAACATTTACTTGCTCACTGATCCTATAGAAGATGACTGCTCCTGCCATCTTGTATTACCATGCTGGTTGGGTTGCTGGATAAACTTTTGAGAGCATTAACATGAAAATGACAGGAGCAATCCCTGCAGTTCTTTTCCCTCTAGGCACTCTGCAGTAAGAGAACACTCTGTACTGCTTTGTTTTTCAGGTTGATGGTTTCCTCACACTTCTCTTTGGCCTGGCTAGCATTAACACCCTCACAGTGATCAGCGTGACTCGCTATATAAAAGGCTGCCATCCTGAGAGAGGTAAGGAATAAAGGCAGATCCAGTTGTGCTTTCATTGAATTTTGCTGTGACTCTGTTCTCCTTTCGGTTACAGAATTTACCAGATACAAATTAGATGCACTGGAAACCGTAATATAATGTAGTCAGGTACTTGTAGTTTCCATGGAAATAGATAGGAAGCATTACTTTCAGAGTGACCTACACCCATATTCTATAAATTTTCTCTGGTCCAGCTTTCACCATCCTTAGATAAGACATTATCAATTTTCATGCCCTTATTATGACTGGTTTGTACCACCCCCAAGTGAGAACCTATTAGTATCTGCATTTAAAGCTTGTGTAAACAATGGATACAATATATGAGTTTTTCTTTCTATTAGCATGAGCTGTGAAGAGATTATTCATGGAATCTTTTTTCTTCTACAGGAAGTTCTCTTGCAGTTTATAGTGATAAGTTCATTTCGCCTCCATCTTGTATTCATAGCTTCATAAGATGCAATGTTTAAAATGTACACTTCTCTTTTGCTCTGCTGCATCACACGTTCATTGCTACTATTTATCTTTGGCTGTTGAGAAAATCTGACCAAGTACTCAGTATAATGTTACATAAATGTTAAGGAACAGAGATGGGTGGCTGCATAAGTATTTTATTGGTAGACAAAGAAATGATCACCACATATGGCAACAGTGGAACAGACTGAATCATTTGTACCGTGTGGCTAATGAAGTTTGATAAGATAGTATTTTTTTTTTTTGCTCTTTTTTAACAGTGAGAACTTTGAAATAAATAAGAAAATCCCATGCATTTAGACTAACCATAATCATTTCTGCATAAAACATATTTCTTTCCTTCTTTTTACAAAATTACAAAACACAGCTCCAACACAGAACGTTGTATTTCTGCAGCAGTCAGCAAACATTGTCTCTGATAAATAGCCACACAGTCCCACTGCTCCACAAGTGAACTCAAACACAAGCATTTGCAAATTTAAGCTTTTCTTATAAATAAATAGCTTTATATTAACTTTTTCTCAGATAGCTGTGTTTTCTTCATTATTATTTTCTGGTTAAATCATCTCATTGCAGCTCACTGTATCAGCAACAGCAGTATGACGGTGGCTATGGTCCTCATCTGGATAGCAGCCTTCTTCTGGTCAGCAGCTCCACTGCTTGGCTGGGGTAGTTATACAGGTAACAGGTATCTTTCAGTTGTACTTATTTGCCACTTTTCCACTGAACTGAACTGAGATACTTACCCTTTTTTCTTCCTGTTTGTGATTAAACCGGATTGATCAGCAGCAGAACTGAGAAAAATCATTCATCAGGGAAGATGGATGTGCAGTGTTGCCTGCTTTGGTGTCAGCTATAAAGAGATTTCTTGAAGATATCACAGGAAATACTTGGATCAAATGTGTATTATCTCTGGGGGAAAAAATGGGGCCAGAAATATTTGGCATGGTTAAGCAGTGAGATAAAGGAAATGATCAAAACGCATCCTTCAAAAACTGTCAAGATTAGGAAGCTAGAAAATAATTCAAGTTCCAGCAAGTTAAACTTGAAACTACAGTAAAGCAAGCCAAAAGTTTAAACAGTTTAATGAAATTATGAAAACTAACACAGCAGAGGAAGACAATGATGTCAGTCAGCCCAAGAAGTGATGAGGGTACAAGATAAGGCCATAGGGAAAAAAAAAAAAGTAGAAAAAAATTAATTTGCTGACACTGAGGTAATTCAATGGCTAAGATCTATTTGCACACTAGAAAATTTCATTATGGGAAATAGTTGAGAAATTGTCTCAGATTAAGTCTCTAAACAAACCAATACAATAATTTCAGAGCTAAGGCATCTTAAGTAAACCCTCATCTGGGGGAAAAGCAAATGAAAACACCCCTAGCTTTTAAAATAGTGCTTACCTCCTAGGGGAAAAAAAAAAAAATAATGTGGATCTGGGTTTTGTAGGTCTATGAAACATGAGCACATTAGGGAGAAAACAAGATATAATTAGAAAACAGGTTAAAATATAAAATCATAGATCTCTGGTGTGACTGAAAAGAGGTTGTAGAAAGACAACCTCTTACGTCTTGTATTTCAAGACATATAGGTGGAGAAGAGATTTCTTCCCATGAAGAAATAATGGCAGCAATAGCTAGGAACTAAGGCTCTGAGACTCCAAGATCAAAGGCAAGGCAGAAGGTTAGGGCCAGGGCAAGTGTTAGAAAAAGACTAAAACCAGCACTGCAGCATGCAAATATTTATTAAATAAGCTTTGAGTTATTTCTGTACTTCTGAAGGATGTATGTAAGAAAGCACCCATTTCCAATAACCTGGAGGTCCCCTTCCCAAACTAAACTGTTATCAGAGTACTAGGCTCAGTGCATCTTCTGTTTGAGACAGGACAACTGCTCTAGTTTTATGTAATGTTTTTTGCACTCTAGGTATATCTTAGAACTTGGGTGGTCTGGATGTGTCATTTGCTTTGCACTTTGCAACAAGTGCTTTGCACTCTTGTAGCAACATGGGATTTTGTATGTACAAGAATCCAATTAGCTCTTTATCTGCAGGTTTTCTTATACCCATTTTTGGCCCTAACTTGGATCCATGGACCCAATGTAAGGATTTCCAAATGCCCCCTTGGATCCTGCTTGTAATTTGGATTCAACTCCCTAACAACAGTCTTCAAGACAGCTTCTTTGAGAGCTTCTCCCTGTTGAGAATAAGGGGTGCTTCAGATTCCTCGTTTATCTGACTCTCAACACATTTTCCATAGAGGGACCCATGAATACCTACCTAGGTAGGAGTCCAGCAGAGCATGACAGTGACAGCCAGACCACAGCATAAGGTGCATTTCTGCCTCCCACCTGTCACTTCTGCACAGCAGCTGCAGAGTTCCCCAGGCCCCCACTGACTTTTGGAAATGCCACTTGCTGGTGCTCCTGCAGAGCAAGGGAAACAGAGCTTTCAATTCTGACATAAAAAAATCTGCAGGATTTTCTTCTTATTCCAGTTGGAAAATGCTTTCTTTTTTTCCAGTCAAAAGTTTCCACAAGCCAGAAAATAAGAATTAAGTCAGAAGTTACGGTTATCTTTTTGAATAATATCTTGGGATCTACTGATGAAAAAAGGCAAAGGAGACCAAAAAAAAAGTTTCTATTACTGAGCATAGCCAGAAAGCACTGCCTAAAGCTTTTGGTGTTAAAAATATCGAGCTCTTTTTGATGAGACTCAAAAGAGATTTTAATCTTTTGCTCCTTTAATTTATTCTATCTGAAACTCCCTCCTATCACCCATGAGGAATTAAGAGGTTTTTTTTTTTTCCATTCAGAATCATCACTGGATGTCAGTGAGAAAGCTGTTGTTAAATCATGCAGGCTTCACCTGTACTGCATTTTCAGGACTTGTTAATACCTGACTTTGTAATTTTTGTTCATACTTCAATTATTTATAATTCACTTTATTTCCATGGTTGTCAGGGGGGGGAAAAGAAAGAAAAAAAACATCCATCCCTCCACCAACAAAAATCCACGATTCACAAACTACAGGCAATCCTTAATGCTGTCAAACTCAAGGTTTCTGTCAGGACTCATTTATGAACACATCAAAAGAGACTTGATAAGCCAACTGTTATTCATAAAAAGCATTTAAGCATAGACTGCTCTTCATTCCCATTGCTGCCTTCTTAGCTATCTGATCACCTATGTCCTTTTGTAAATGCCCCTAGTTGCAGATCCTATTTGCCTCACATTGTTTTTAAGAGCTGCAGCTCCTTTGTAGTTTCTTTCCATTTAGAAAGACATGAAACATTTTGCTAAGTACTTATATGCTTCATTTTCCCCATAATCTCTATTTGCTTTCATTTCTCCCACCACAATAAAGTTTTCAATGCCTTTTTTCTTCTATTAAAAAAAAAAAAAAACAAAAAACAAAAAAAAACCACCACTGAATATTTTTATTTCTTACTTTACTATGCAAGTAGTGACTTCTTACATGCGGCATATTGTATCTTTACAAGTGCTTGTTATGCTGCTACAGTGCTCACCTTAGAAAGTTACTTTTTAGAAGCATTTCAAATAACAGAAGATAACACCCTGTAGTATTAACAAACTAAATTAATACCTGTTTTCTAGTGAAATGTCCTGAAACAACAGTTTGTACGTTATGGATTTACACTGGAAATCTAAATAAGACAGAATGATAATATGGATTAAAACTTGTAATGGTATATAGCAGTACTTGAAAAATTGGTTGTCATAGCTTGTTAAATTAGAAAGGTGCTTATAGCTTAAAGGATGTAAAATACAGCATTAAATGTAATAAATTAATCATACAAAGCCAGATAAGTGTTTTAAAAATGCTTAACAACTCATCTTTGTTTTCCAGATCGCATGTATGGAACATGTGAAATAGACTGGGCAAAGGCCAACTTCTCTACAATCTACAAGTCCTACATTATCTCCATTTTTATCTGCTGTTTCTTCCTACCTGTAACAGTCATGGTCTTCTCATATGTGTCAATTATCAATACTGTCAAATTAAGCCATGCATTAACAGGACTCAGTGATCCCACAGATAGACAGAGGAGAACGGAGCGCGATGTCACCAGGGTAAGTCTGGGTTTCATATCATGGGATTTATCTCAGCGAAATCTGTCTGTCCAAAAATTGATCTCAACTAGGACAGAAGTGAACAAAACCCATAGCCCCTATTAAACTTCTTTGTAATCATCACTACTGAGTCTGAGCTGAGTGAACATAAGGATTGTTTAGAACTCCCTTGGTTGCATAACATCTGTGATGTTGCTACATCACAAGAGAAAAATAATTTAAATATAATTGGAACAGGCCATACACCACAAACACAAAAGTTTAGTTTGGCATATTCTCTTTCAGAAGAGATGTTACTTCTGAGAATACACACAAGTTACAGGGGAACTTTCAAATTACTTATCCTAGATTGAAATCTACACCAAATATCCTAAATTCATAAAAACCTATAGGGAATTGCAGCTGTTTTTGTTCCAGTAGGTGAGGCACTGCTCATGCACACCTCATGCCAACTGAGATATACAGCTTCTAGGCACAGCTGGCACCAAAGAAAAGTTTTTGCTTCTCTGTGCAGTCCTGTAAGCCATATCTTCAGGAGAACCTGAATGTTTCCCTTCCAGATCAGTTTCTAAGCTATTTTTCCCCCAGTGTATTTCATCTCTGATGTAGTCTTCCAGAATAAATTTAAGACTGTTTTCCTTCTGTCTTTCAGGTCTCTATTGTTATTTGCACAGCCTTCATTATTGCATGGTCACCATATGCTGTCATCTCTATATGGTCTGCGTATGGTCACCCTGTGCCCAATCTTACCAGCATCCTTGCCAGTCTGTTTGCTAAGTCTGCCAGTTTCTACAATCCTATAATCTACTTTGGAATGAGCTCTAAGTTTCGGAGGGACATTTTTATCTTATTCCATTGTGCCAAGGAAGTCAAGGACCCTGTGAAGCTCAAACGTTTCAAAAACCTCAAGCAAAAACAAGAACCTTCTCAGAAAGAAGACAAATACGCAGCAGAAATGCATCCTGTACCGAGCCCCGATTCTGGTGTGGGAAGTCCAACCAACACCCCACCTCCAGCAAACAGGGAAGAGTATTTTGGTATTCTCGATACACCATCTAATAACCCTGACATCGAATGTGATAGACTATAAGTTTTATGGCCACTTAACACATGCACCCACCTTTGTGTTCAGGAAGACCCTCTTCAGATCACTGTCTGAGTGATCTCCCAACTCCCAATCCATCTACTTCTTTCTGTAGCACTGAGAACTACACAACTCAAGCACATCGGGTGACAAAGAGATACTTCCCTTCTGTGTAGGTACAGAATGCTACAAAACACATTTCAACTCGGGCAGCACACATGGTGCCCGAAGCATTCAATTTTCACACATATGAAAGAAAATGAAGGCTCACTTGTGAAGAACTGGCGTTAGCTAGCAAAAAAAAATACTGTTATTATGTTCCTGTCCCAATTTTATTAATCATAAGATTACATTTCCAAATCTGTTTTTAACTCCTCAGCAGTCTCAGGCATAGAGGATCTTTTCAGCTCTCTGGTGCAGCACAGACCCCACTCACAGGAAAAGATGGGCCCACCTGCTGCAGAGCTGCTGCTCCAGTTCTGCAAGTTGGTAGGCAAAGCTGTTCCTCCCTGGATACAGGGATAGAATGGCCATGCCCACATGGGTATGCAACAGACTACCTGCCCAACTCTACATGTATCTATGCAAGTGCAAAGAACTGTAGATCTTGGTATTCTGTCTCTGTAGGTTTAAGAGGGACTTTATACTTTTCTTTGCTTGTTTCCAGAATTATTTTCATCTTCCCTGACTCTTCCAGTGAGCAGGGCCTGGCTGTAGCATGCACGTGCCCAAAAGCTGGCTTTAACTTCCTGATGTGTCTCTCTATCTCAATTGCTTTTCTGGGTGACTGTGAAGGTGGAGCGCGAGATGGTTGGCAGCCACTGAAACCAATGACAGTAAGAATAAGACAGTAGGAGTATTAAGAAAGTATGGCATCAGTGCTATTTACAAAATAATCTAACAACACTTTACTGCTGCTGTTAAAGTTTTTGTACCTACCTACCATGGGAAAAAAAAAAAAAGGACTTTCAGATAAATGCAAGTAGCAACAAAGGATAGCTATTTTAATAGCAAAACTATAGGAATAAATCAGCAGTGAGAATATCTGATACAATAACATCCAATTATTCCCTCAATTTAATTTCACAGAATGAAAGTAAGGAGGCACATGTTCATAACTTCCCATCTTAGGAATTCACTGAGCACACAGATTTCCATCACATTGTTTTTGTATTAACCCTGGAAATTGTGTCTTCATTCAGTGCCATTTGCATGAAAAACAAGGGTGGGGGAAAAAAAAATGAAATGATTTGTTGCTAACCTCAGTGATATTTATGACCTACATGGAATCTTTCACCCTCAGCATATGCTAAGATGTAGTTGTTTTCCAGCGGTTTGTAACTTCCCCAAGAAATACATTTGGAAAATCAAAGCAAGCCCACCTTCATTTCCTCCATTACTCTATTTGTTTTGAGAAAAATCACTTGTGTTTTGAAGTTAAAAAGAAATAAACATTTTAAGCAACAGTTGGGAACTGTTTCCTTTCACAGCCACAGATCTGAACTGCAAGAATATTCATCCCCACGGAAAATTTTGAGATATGGGTGCTATTTCATTACCATAAATAATTAAAAGCAAATAAGTAAACTGTTGACTTCCAGATAAAAGCACATGCCATAACTGCAGAAACAGATGAAGCCATTTAAGGCAAACCCCTGTCACAGCCGGATGAAGGCAGGCAAGGCCAGTCAAAGCTGGCACAACATTTTAAAAGCTTCTATGTCTAAACCCAAATCCTTGTTGGCAGCCTCACTGGACTGAGCTTAGCTACTGCTGCACACACCCACAGGTCACTTTGAGATGAGTGCCATGCATCCTTTGGGTGCAGCTCACAGAGGTACCTGCAGTGACAACCGCTCCAGGCACTGGCAATAGCCACAGACACCTGGCTAGCATTTAATCAGCATTTCTGCTGATTTATGGATGTCTAGGGAAAGCATATGTGCCATTGCACATGTACACAGCAGCAAGGGAGAGACAGGAGTAAGATACATGAACCAGGAAGAATCAACATAAGAGGGGAACAAGAAGATATGCAAGGACGCAAGGGGTCAACAGCTTAAGGACACAAACTTGCCCCAGAACAACTAGAAACTGCTAATGCTACAAAAGCCTTGACCGGACAGTGCAGATCTCATTCTTGCCATGCCTGAGGCTACAGTCCTTGTAGATAGATTCATGATTGCAGAGCAAAACATCTGGTTTTGCAGGTTATTTGAGGGGGGGAAGGAAGAAGATGGATGCCTTTGCAGGCACCAACCTGTGCTCCAGGCCCCATAACAGGCACATTTGTCACTGGAGTTACTCAGGCTGTTAGGCTTCCAGCCCTCACGCATCAGTATTCTGTAGCTGCACACAAGATACACACAAGCACCAGAAGACAGGAAAAAACACCCAGAACCAGTTCATGCTCAAGTACAGGTAAGGGAATATGCTTCAGGATTTCAAGTGTGCAAATCCACACACAAACTGCAAACAGTTGGCCACCATCCTGCTTTCCAGTTTTGTTTTTCTTCCCCTTGTCTCTGGTTGCATGCTTGTCTGGAGGAGGCTGAACCCTGCTCCTCTGCTTGCTGAGCCCACATCACTGACCTCAGAGAGCCTCAAAGGGTGCAGAGGTTGAGAGCATCAGCAAGGGGAAACACTATCTGGGAGTACAGAAGGGGTGTGATGGAGTCCTAGGCTCTGTTCCCTATGCATTTTTATGCCTTTTAGTCAGCAACAATGAAGAACAGTGTAGAGGCATACAGAAGACTAGAGTCAAATTATTTGCCTGCCAACCCTACTGCTTGCCAAACGTTGGATTTTCTTTTACAGTGGATGAATTTTGCCAGAGATGCAAGAGGGCTGTTGTCACGAACGATGCCCTGGTGATAAGGATGCTCTCAGTAAACTGCAGCTTTTAATGCTCTCAGTCTAAGATGGTCTTTGAAGGGAGGTCCCAAGTCCCTCACAGAAGCAAAGGCCTACCTGCTTCTGAACTGTCTGTTTAGAAGTACTGTGTTTGTTTTGAATATAATAGGACAAGCATTTCATTTCCAAGAATGCTCTCAGCTTTTACTGGCTTGTTCCAGCAGGATCTGAGACATCTATTCACTCTCTCTCACTGCTAGGACACAAGGAACCCAGCCAGCAAACCCTGCTAGCTATTCATCATCCATCTATCTCTGTACCCTCATTCCCATTGGCACTGCTGAAACACTCTGGCAAAAGGTGACATACCACAGCACAGCAAAAGTCATTCTGCAAAAACCTTGAAACACTTAAGCCACTCTTTAAATACTCTATATTCTCATTTTTGCCTAGCATTTCTGATTAGATATTCATTAGTACACACGAGCAGGTAACTTAGTAAATACATTAATTGTGAAGCCATTACATATGTATCAAAATCTCATCAGCTCTTATTTCTTATTATCTATAGTATTCGTAACATTCAGCATACCAGTATTACACCATCATCACTGTAGTTGTCAATACTTAACACAGGCACATTGGTCTTGCAGGTGGCTCCCTGTTACCAACACAACCATTTTACTTGGGCTACATAGTGCAAGCAGTTAAGCCAGGATTATTTATGGTCAGTTTCCACACGTAATAATAGCTGCTCCTGGTTTGAGGGGAAAAAATATATATATATATATATATATATATATATATATACACAAAAACAAAGCTATCACTTGTTTATTTATGCCAAGAAAACCTTTAGGGCTCAAATTTTCCCTGCTGACATAGTTGCCAAGCTGAAAATCCCTCTGGGTGTCAGCACATTGAAGTACATAGCAACGTTTCTTTACAGCATTGACATTTCTAATGGTAATATGAATAATATGAGTGTGCAGTTGGAGGGACAGCATACTGCAAGCCAGTCCCTGTTCTCAGTGATATTTATACCTTTTTATCCAATGACTCATGTAAAGTATTTCATGTAGCAGAGACTAGAAAACAGGACATCTACCTTCATCCCCATGAAGATAATGACTTTACTATGGCATGCTTACTAAGGATTGCACACTCTTGCAGGGTCTCTTTCCACCCCAATAAGCCCTTTGTTCTTTGCCTCGTACACTGACTAGACAAGGGGGATACAGACTGTGTCCACTGCACTATCCATAGGAGTAATAGATGAAGATGAGATCCTTTCCCAAGGTTAGGGCTTGAAAAGAACTTGGTTCTTCTACCCTATGAATGCTTGCATTCCTGGGTAATAATGAAAAGTGTGTGTGATGTTACTGCACCTGTACTTCCAACTATCCAGAAAACACTATAAAATAGCTTAGCAGGTCAGGTTCTCTTGCAACACTGCGTCTGATCCTCTCTCTCCCTCTCAGATTGCCAAAAGCTTGGATTTTGGAGCTTGTCAGTGCATCAACAAATGCAAAGGACTTCTCAAAATCCTTTGGGAGCTCTGAGGGCCAAAGCAAAGATGCCTGCAGGGTCAAATGGGCCTGTGTCTACTATATGGTCTGAAGTGCCCAATTTTCACATGATGTGAAGATCCTACAGTAGTCATTGCCCCATTCTTTCATATATCAATGATCTACGCAATATGGGAAAGCTACAATCAGAGAAATAAAATGGCTCTAAGGACCTCATGGTTAACACGTATTCCTGCTTTCTTGGAGAAGGCAATTCAGGTGATTCCAGAGGAAGATGGAATCACGATCTCCAGAAGAGCAGAGCACAGATACTACTGGACACAGTTACACATTAATCCTGCCTGGATGCTTCTTGTAAAGCTTGACCAAGTAGGCACAGTCAAATATAACTCTCACAGTCTGAGTGTGGGTATTTAAATAGATTGCACTGACTGCAGTAGAGGACAGCAGCTTACCATCTGGCCTATGCTTTTATCTACAGTTTTGACTATACAATATGTATTTAGTACATTTCTGAAACTTTGTTTTCTGGATTGGATTTTTTTCGTGCACAATCTGTCTATATAGTAGCTTATCATAAGAGGGTGGCAAGAATACATTATGCTTGACATGCAGGAGAAGAACAAGAATAAATTCAAGATTCAAAGGATGTCTATATAGTACTACAATAAAAACACATCAGAAATTTACTAAATGGAAAGTAGTAAGAACAATAGTTATAAAAGAGTCACACTGGAATAATAAAAATTAAAAAAGAACCATCTACCAGCTGTCTATGCCAATAATCATCAACTTTAATGCTCAGTGAACGAGACATAAGCCCTCTGGGGACAACAAACACATAGCATTTAATTATGTAATAGGACATATCCTAGTAAAACAGAAGTTGAAGGATTCAGAGATGACTTCAATGGCCCCCTCCACCTTGCTGATATGACAGCCTCCAACAGCCTTTGACGCTGTTCCAGCCAGCCTGACCAATGCAAGGAGCTACTGCTCGAGCAAAGTTTGAGTGATCACAGAGGGTGCACGTGTGACTAGAGTGCACCTCTGCTGGATCCAGAGTAAGGTCAGAGCAAGCTGCTCAAGCCATAGGTGCCTGTGTACCACAGTACTTGTGAACTGAAGCATTAAATCAAGAATAACATTTGGTAATACAAATGAGAGCACAAGTAAATCTTGGTAATGTGTCTTGGCAAATCCTTACCACCCACCAGAGATAAATTTCAAAGGGATTTGTATCTGTAACATTATAGTGTTATGAAAAGCACAGCAGTAATAGCAGGGCGGCAAAATCTTTGGCTGCAGTAACTGAGGGCAAGCCCAAGTGCAGCACTCATAGAAGCAGAAACAAAGGAAGATTATTTGCTTACCTCCAGAAGACCTCAGGTACTCAAGGATCTCCAGCAGGATACCCCTGCCTCCATAGACAACCCTTAAATGAGGTCTGGGTAGAGGTGGAGCCAGGATCCACCCCTTCCAGTCGCTCAGCTGCATTGCTTGCACCTGAGCTCATCTGGGTTGGCCCTGCCTTCCCACCAGCTGCTCAATCACTGGTTTGAGCCCTGAGTTAGCATTTCCACTACAGTATCATCCTATATTCACATGGGAAAGCAAGATAAATTTAGTGGATTTGCATCATGCTTTACACTGTGAGGAACTTGCTGCATGAAATGAGCAAAGCTAACTTAGTCAGGAGCAAGCTAGACAATTCCTGAGGCAGCATGCAGTGTATGTGTGGATTTAAAGGGAGTGGAAAATGGATTTTTGCTAGCACTGGATTTCATCATGTTACGTGACAATCCAGTGCAATCAACTTTGCTTGCTGAAAGGCACTCACATACAGAAACAACCCCAAATGTTATTTCAGACAAAATTATTCCAGATTAATGAGCAGCTCAGTGATTTCAAAGTTTACGTTTCAGATCCAGAGATGAGATCTGTATCATCCTACAACTTGAGGGAGCTACTGCCAGACCACCAGGAGTCAGGGCAACAAAAAGCATTTATTTCTGTGGTCAATCAGACCTAGGATCCCAAAGGTTTTTAAATGAAGATGATATGCCTCAGTCACCTCTAAGAATCGGATCACTTATTGAAAAAAGAGTTTGGAAGAATCGACCCACAGTAATGACAAGCAAACAATGGGCCTCTGGTGGTCATTCTGCATCACCTGGATAAAGCCTGCAAGGATAAGGCCTCTTGACAAAGTCAAGAGGAAAAACAGCCTGGTCCATGCCCAGCCTCCTGTTGCAGCATGGCTTCCACTTGGCCACAGCTATATGAGGCACTGAATGCAGGTCAGAAGCTGACTGGATTTGCTTAGCAACAAGATCAGAAAACAAATAATGCAGTTAATGAAAAGAATTATAAAAGTGCTTGGAAAAAGCTTGGGAAAGCCAAGAGGAGCAAGCTGGCATGTCTCTTGTGTGATGATTTAGTGGAGGGTTGTTAGTTAGGGTAGTATGGTTAGGTCATGGTTGGACTCAATGATCTTTAAGGCCTTTTCCAACCTGAGTTATTCTATAGTTCTACAATTACGTCTCACTCAGACAACAGCACATAGACATTCCCTATGAGCACAGCAGGGACTGCAGCATGGCCATTCTTCAAGCCCTGCAGTCCTCTGCACTGTGACATTTCACTGAGTCCCAGTGAAAGGGGAAACAAGGCCCAGTGAACCATGTTGGCATTTAGGCTTGCGATTAAAGAAACTCCAGAGAAATGCTAACATTTGCAACTACTGCCCACTTTTGATACTACAATGAAGGCTCTGCAAATGCTTATATAACCCTTCTATATAGCCCATCAACCAGTCTTCATTAGGCAGCAACAAAGAAATGTCAGAAGTGATTGAAGAGTATATCTTTAGTTCAGTGTTTGTGCTTAGGCTGAGGGGGGTGGGAAGGGGAAGACTAAGGAGGGTTTGCAATTATTCATGTTGCAGCAGTGCACTATCTGTGTAGGTCTATTCATCTGAAATGTTGTAGTCAGTAATGGCATTCAGCTCAAGAAATCCCTAAATGTCATTGAGAGAGAGAGAGAGAGTTAATTCCTCTGCCCCCGTGCAGTGATGAAAATTCAGGGCTTCAGCCCACATTCCTTACACCAATACCATAGCACTGACCCTTACTGTGTAAAACCTTGTGATTAAGCCATGTGACTGTAGCAAACCCCACCACCCATGCATTCATTCAGAGTCATCACAAAACATTATCCTTTGCAAATCCAGGGGCAAATCCCCCTATCCCTGCATAATAGCACTGCTGCAATGTTCACAGTCGTGGCAGCTTTAAAACACAACCAGGTTCAACAAGACAAAGTGCTGTATCCTACTCTTTAGTCACAACAACAGGCTTGGGGATTGTTTAGTCTGGAGAAGAGGAGGCTCACAGGAGGCCTTAACACTACTTACAGCTGACTGAAAAGAAGCTGCAGTAAGATGAGAATCAGTCTTTTCTCCCTGGTAACAGCTATAGGATGGGAGGTAATGGCCTCAGATTGCACCAGGGGATGTTCAGGTTGGATATTCGGATGAATTTCTTCTCCAAAGGCATTGGAACAGGCTGCCCACAGAGGTGGTAGAGTCACCAACCCTGGAGCTGTTCAGGAAATGCGTAGCTGTGGCACTGAGGGACATGGTTACTGGGAATGGTAAGTATGGATTGGTGGTTGGACTAGATTATTTTAGTGGTCTTTTTCAACCTTAGTGATTCTATTATACATTCCAACAGCATGGCACAGAAGCTCATGAAATACAAACACATCATGTCTGCCAACTCACTGATGTGTTCTCACGAAGCCCTATTGATAAAACCTGTTTATTTCCACTCTATATGTTAGTCGCTGATAGAATGATAGAGATGATGATGCTGAAATTGCATCTCTGTTTGATGTGAAGCATGCTCTGGCAAAGTAACCAGAAAGAGATCTGATGCCAGAGCTCTACCAGTGGGGCCAGGAACTCTCTAAGTTTCCTGAACTTTACAGAAGACCGGGTTTTATATTTTACCTGAGTCTAGACTGGGTTTTGAAGCTTGAGTTTTATGAAGGCCAAGGATATTCACTTTGGAGCAGCAGAAACTTTAAGATCTAATAGTCACCTCCTAAAATCAATGACAGCTTAAATGGCCAAAAATGGCTGGATGGAAATTGTCAGCACTCACAGATTTCTTTACAGACTTTCCCATACAGTGGCACAAAGGAAACAGAGGTTTCAGCATCCGAATTCCTGTAAGCATCAGTGCAAAGTAAAAACACAGGTTATCCCAATCCACAGCAAAGATGGCTCAATGGCATAAAGTCCCACATAGAGGAGGCATTGAAAGGGGCATTCAGCAAACACAGCTGGGGCTGAATACAGACCCATTGCACGATGCACCAGTGGCCTCAACAGTGAATATTTACAACTCATTTGGGCTGTTAGCACACCATCAGCAGCAGCTCTATCCACCCCACTGAACCAAAGCAAACAGCCAAAGCGCTCAGTGAGCTGTAACATAGGATAGCGCATAATATTTAACATCACAGCTGACACAGCTTGGTTTTGTCCTTTATTAGCTCGCTGAGGAGAGGAACATAGCATTGTACAGAGCTCCACAGGCCACATGCCTCCTTCTCTTACGCTGGCCCAAATCAGGATCGACTCTCGCATTACCACCATAACTACATTAGACAAGCACAACACGCAATCCGCATTTCTCAATGATCATAACTACCTTTTCACTTGATGGGAAGGGACTCACAGAAACCATTACCAGAACATATCAGCCTACAGTAAGTTCACAATGGAGATTTTAAACCAGCTTTGTACTGCTCTGCTTCTGTGAGGAAGCACAGCAGCTGAACTGGGATCTGGACACACTCAGCAAAACGAACGGAGCAGATGCCTTATCCACCCTCCCTCCCTCTGACCCTCTCTGGCCCTCCCAGCCTCCTACCAGGATGCAGCAGAAACCACCAGCACTTTGCAAGCTGCACTCCAAGCACAGATCTAAGCACACAGCACAGTATCAGAGAACTGTAGGCGCAACAACATGAATCATTCACCTTTTGCTGAGTCCTGAGCACCTTCCTTCCCCTCACGCTTGCCTTTGCAGCACCTATTTGCAATGCCCCAATTCCCTCAGGAAGACATGAAAATCACATGCACCTCTCATGAGGCTGTAAAACCCCATTAATCCATCTATGATTCTTTTCCATTTATAGATTTAAAATAATACACTTCCACACAAATTCCTACCTTTTCATACACAAGTCATCATGTTTCAACATCACCTTCTGAGTCATCTGCAGGTGGAAGAACCCTCATCAATAAAAAGAAACCAAGACCCTGTTCCACAAGCTCCATATGGGGCTAGCCCTATATGGTATGGCTGGATCAGGCCAGCTAGGGCTGGCAGCAGACAGCTGTGGGCAGTAACCTCTTACGTGCCTTGGGTGGAAAAAGCTGTGAGAGACAGGTTCTAGGGTTTTCTGTAGGTAGCTGTTCTCATCTGCATCTTCCATAATTCAAACACCATTCCCAGCTCTGTTCTGTGAGCACTGTGCTTTTTGGATTTCTCTGTAGAAACTGCTTGCCTTTCTTTTCTTCTGGTATTTTCTAAGAACATGAGTGTAATTTAATTTTCTCTCTCCCAAAGGCATTTTTCACATTCTTTCATTGTTTGCCTTTCTTTGCAAAGGGCCTTGAGAACCTAAGGTGGGAAATGTCAGTTATTGAAGCTTGAAAGAGCCGACAGTATTTTTCATAATATAAAAACACCAAAAAATGAGAAAGCTCAAAAATCTGAAGGTTTTCCTCTTGCGGTTCTCATGGAGATTTGAGGCTGGCAATTATAAGAATACATATAGTATTGCCAGCTTAACTGTGCTTGTGACAAAGCAATTTATGAGAAATAATTTACTTAACTTGAGGATTGAAACACAGAGCTTACCCTATAATATACAGTTGTGGTAATGGAAGCAGAGAACAGAGAACAGAGCTTATTCAGAGATTTCTTTTTCTAATAAGATTTTGAAGTTGACTTTTTTCTTTTAAATACAACAAGACAGCATCCTTTCTTCTCAAGGCTTGATTTCAAAGAAGGATTTAAAATTGCATCGAATACTTCTGCACTTTAAGGCATCATCAAAAAAAGAGACATGACTCTTCCTTGCCATTCTATTTCTACATCACTGAGATAATAATTAACTGAATTGCTACAGCATGGAGTGATATTTATGTATACTGTCTGTTTTCTGCTTTTTTAACTTGAAAAGAATCACAAGAAATTACGGACTTATAGAAAGCACAGATGCAGGCTGACATTGTAGAAATCTGTGTTTATATCTTTTGTCCCTTGCAGCACACCCTGTTGCTCTTTAGGGCTGAAAATGCCCCAAGCAACTTGGTGCTTA